TCTCTCCATCAAATAAATAAATAAAAATCTTAAAAAAAAAAAAAAAAAGGATAAATAAGAATCCCAATATACAACATAGATAAAACCAGGAAATTCATTGAAAATCAAATCTGAATTAGCAGGTATATAAAGAGATGCCAAAGTCTTGGTTTTCAACAGATTGGCAAAAATTAGGAGTAGGTCAGCTATTAATGAATTATGGGAAGATGAATGCTCTTGTACATTGTGATGGCAGTATATACTGGTACAACCATTGCAGAGAACAATCTGGGCATACTTACTAGAAATGAACATGATCCAATAATCCATTCCAGGAACACATCCCAGAGAAACTTGAGCCCAGGTTCATAAGGGGACAGGCACAAAGATGTTCATTGTAGAGGCATCAGGGTGCCCATCACTACAGAAACGGGTAAATAAAATGTGGTGTATACATACAGTAATTCAGCACACAGAAGCAATAAACTAGTGTTATATACAGGAGCATGGGTGAACCTCTAAATGAATATTAATTTAAAAATTACAAATTGAATGAAGGCTACAGTATAATGTCATATATATAAATTAAGAACAGATGCACATACAAAATAGTACAACATATGTTTCAAGGAACCACACATATCCAAAGATACCTGTGAGCTTTGAACTTAAATGCAGTATCATGGTGCTTATAATAAGAGGTTGGTATAGAGTTAAAATGGTGGATGAAAAGTCTAAGTAATAAAATGGGGGAAGAAAGATGACTTTGTGTAGGCAGTTGACATATGTGCTGTATGCTGGTAAGTATTATTAACTCAACACCCTGCATCTGAGATTAAAAATATGTGAAATATAGAACTATAATGCCTGTAATTTATAACTTAGAAAAATTTTACATCATGAATAAATATATTTAATTACTCTTCTTGTTTCTTTACCAACTACCTCAGAGCATGCCAGACTTCCATTAATTTAAGTGTTATGTCATTGTCCCCCTCATCCTCGGTGGTCTTTACATATCCAATGACACCCTTCAAGATATAATTTAAGTTCTACTTCTTTGTAAGACCTTTTAAATTGTTCTATTCAGGCAAATGTCCCCTGATATCTTAAGCTATACCAAACCATCTAAGACTTAATAATATGTTGCATATATTGTCCTCTATCTATCACTGTATTATGCCTTGCGCAGGGCTTCCTCTACTAGATGTTAACTGCACAGAAATCAGAGAGACCTCTTCGTAGCTTCCAGTTGTGCCGAGAACAGTGCTGTGCATACAAGAGTATTTGGATTAACAGATTTTCAGATAAGATTTGGGATTGTGGTGGCAAGGGATGGATAGATGGGACCATAACTGAAGGTTGAAAAAAATATATCCTATTGCTGCTGAGAACTACTTTTGAAAGTGGGGAGAATAGAGATCCCTTTTGGAATTGGAGTTTCTTTTGGAACTAGAGGAGAAAGAGTAGAATAATCAATATCACACGGTGAATGAAGTAGCCTTCCAGTCAATGAAGGAGATGAAGCTTGCTTTAACTTCCTCTTTTTTTTCTTTTCTTTTCTCTTCTCAGTGTTTCCTTATTTATTACTACCACTATTTTTTTTTCTCTGAACACTTAAAAATTTTCTTTTTATTTTAATCTACAAAATAAAACTAGTAAGAACCAACTCAGATGTGCTTCCTCCATCTTGGGAAAACTGTTCCATAGTTCTCCCTTTTTAGGGGAAATATGCTTCTTTTGTTTTTGATTAAAGTTATCATTTTGTTATGATTACTAAATGTGTGAATTACTAAATTATAGTGGGTCATTCCTCTGGAGGCTGTGGAGATAAGAAACTCCTTATATAATGGGAGTTGATAAACTGGGTCGGATTCTCACTGAGATTCAGAATTGCATTTAGCTATGCTCTGAAAATGATTTCAACAAGAGCCAAATGTTGTCTCAGAAAGGGAAATTGATCTTTGGGTAAGATCCAACAGGAGGCTGGAGCTTTGAAACAAGAAGATACATGTGGCTTGCTCAGCCCTTTGAAAGGTCCAAAAGAGATGTGGATTGGCTCCAGGAAATAATGATGGAAAAGAAAGTAAAGCAAGGCATAGAGAATCAGGTAGATGATATGGTGAGGCAGAGTCTTAGCTACTTACTAATTAGCTACTTACTAATTTTGTCACCTGTATTGAGTCAATACATCTCTGAACCTTTGCTTTCTTTTTTGTATGATAAAGAGGTGAGAAAATCTTTATTTTTCATTCATCTATAAATGTTGCCATCAGCTAAAAAGAACACTTGGCAGCTATAAAAATATGAACAGATAAGAACCATAAGGGAAGGAACTGAGCTCCATTCATTTTAGTAACTGACTAATAAAGTAATGGGCCTGAAATATATATAATAGGTACTCAACAAATATTTGTTGAATGGATGAATGAGAAAAATGGAATAGATCAAGAGGAAGTAAAGTCAGGAGAGAACACCAAGACCAGGCTCTTAGGCCATGCATGTAGGAGGCAGAGGATGGAATTTAGGAAGGCAAATAAGAAACTGTCTTTTTTGCTCAGAGGTCAGGACCAGGAAAAAAGCTTCAGGAGCCAGGATAGCTGTAGCATAAAAGTGCTGAGAGCCTATTATCTGTACAGAAGATTAGCACGCATGTTTTAAAGAATTAAAATCCACAGTAGTAATGCCTACAAGTATACCTTCAACAACATGTCTGAACATTTAGAATTACATTTAAGGCAACTAGAAGGCAAGGTGAGTAAGGAAAGTGAGGAATGTCATGAAATTGCCATTGGTAAAATCAGACAGACCAGACTTTAAATCGAAGTTACATTCACTAGGAGTATATATATGGCAGAAAATTAATCTGATACATCTAGAAAATAAAGAATTAATTCTGAAAAATGAAAATTATAGTATCTACTCTGAAGAATTGTTTTGAAGATTAAATAAGTGAACATATGAAAAGGACCTAAAATATGCCTAACATGATTTTTAAAAATGGTATTGTTATCATTATTATTGCCTTATTGTTTTTATGCATAATAGAGTATGTATTAGCCAACTCAATCTTTGGCTTGAGTTCAGTTCAAGAACTTGTAATTTGTAAACTAAATTGCTTCTTTATTTTTGGGTTTTCTTCCAAGTGTGTTTTTTTCCTCTATTGTGCTCTTTTAAAAGTCCAACCCATCCACTCCCCCATAATTTTAGCAGCATCAAGGAAAAAAAGACATTTCTACTTAGGCCAGGAAGGCTAAGTGGCAGATGGCTGTGGTCTGGCCAATAAGGCCTCAGATCTCAGATGTTAGAGGAACAGAAAAGTCAGAGCAGAACTATGGGAAGAAACAGGAACGGTGGAAGTTTTCTTTCACGTGACTGTAAGAGATGAACCATACCAGATTCAACTACTTAGATAACCTTCCCAAATAAGAGGTGATGTCCCCCTCTAGTGTTTGTTTCTAGTTTATATAGTTGACCCTTGAAAAGCACAGGTTTGAGCTGTGAGAGTAAACTTATATGGGTTTGTTTTTGTTTTTTTAAATAAATACAGTACTGTAAATGTATTTTCTCTTTCTTATGATTTTCCCAATATCATTTTCTTTTCTCTAGCTTACTTTATTGTAAGAACAGTATATAATATATATAATATACAATATAGGTGTTAACTGATTGTTTATGCTATTGGTAAGGCTTCCAGTCAACAGCAGGCTATTAGTTAAGTTTTTGGGGAGTCAAGAGTGATACATGGACTTTCCACGGTGCAGGTGTCAGCACCCCTAGCCCCCATATTATTCAAAGATCAATTGTAATAACTTCATTTAAGTGGGGAGTAAGAGGACGATTGTTTCCTAAAGGCTACTGCTTTGTAAGATACATATTTTTAACAGTAAACAAAGTTAGATATGATGTGAAAACTCTGCAACTGAACAGATTAATAAGAAAATTAATATAACACTTGTTACAGAAGTTACATTAATACTGATAACTTGCCAGTAGATACACTAGAGTTAACAAATATGGTTTATCATTGCTAAATCAGATTTTTAAAGAAACTTAGCTCTAGTGAAACGTGTTAAGACTGTTAAAACAAAAGTTTTAGCTAGTTTTGAAGCTACCTTCATCCTCAATAGGTTTTGGACTTGACAGAAATAGGCCTCATTCTGTAGTTAGTTCCGCCCTTAAACTCCCTGATCAAACATAGTCTTGGTGTTAGTTCATAAGTTACAAAGCCAGCAGACTATTTTAGTTAAAGGATGATTAAGTATAGGGCCTGGGTAGGTCTGGAGTAGATGAAGATGAAGGGTGGGCTGGGTTTCACTTCTAATTTTCTGCCCAAGCTTTCAAGCTGAGAAAATTGTTTGCAAGTGTTCAGAGCAATCTCAGTTCTACAATCCCCGACACAAAGTAGGATTTCGGGGCGGGGGTGCGGGGGAGTGCCTTAACTCCTTAATCTGTGTGTGACTATCAGGTCTTGGGAATACACTCAGGTAACGTCGCGTGACCAGCTAGCGGAAAATGGAGAGTGAACTGCACAAACGTGTGTAAGGGCGTGTTTGGTTTGCTTGCTAGCTTAGAGCCCTCAGGGAGAGAGAAGACAGAACTGTAATGACTCACTGAGGGACTGGTGAAGGGCTGCCCATGAGGTGCTGAGACATTCTAAGTGGAAGGATAGTGTGTGAGGAAAACAAGTCTGCGGTCAGGAGAACAAAGACGTCGTTTAGCTACGGCACACAACCTGAAGCGGTTTAGGCTTACCGGGAGGGCGACCGGGAAAGCTCACAGTCGGGAAGCAGCGGTGCAATTGCAGCGGGAGGCGCGCCTCTCCTGAGCCCCGCCCCTCCTGAGCCCCGCCCGCAAGCGTCGGGCCAATGGGAGCCCGGGATGTTAGCGGGTGGGAGGTGCGGCCGGGTTGCTACAGCCGGAGCTGGGCGGTGGCGGAGGCGGCGGCAGCGGTGGTGGCGGCGGCGGCGGCGGCGGCGGCGGCGGCGGCGGCGGCGGCGGCAGTGGCGGCGGGTGTTGGGGGAGAAATCTTGGGGATCCAGAGGTGGTGACGCAATGGAGGGACTGGAAGGTGAGGAGGTGGAGAGGTGCGGGCCAGGCGGTGAGAGCGGGCTCGAAGCAACCCGCGGTGCCCAGGACAGAGGTGCCGGTGGCGAGGGGCTGGACCGGAGCGGTGGACCCTGCGGCTCCTTTGGAGGCCCTAGCGGCCGGTAGCCTTTCAGCCCCCAACACCGTGGAGCTCATGATCCTCAGGCTGCCCCGCCTCAGACGGTCTTCAGCTGGGGTTCCCCACCGGGAGCCTGATACTCCTTTGGCATGTGCCTGCAGGTCTCTTCTACCGTCTTTTGGTCTTGCCTGACTCCTGAGAGCCCTTTTGATAATCACAGTCTCCAGCCAGAATTTATTTTTCTTGCAAAGTGGACTCTCCATTAATGTCCATGGCCTCTCTACTGCCAGCCTTAGCTGGGGCCCCTGGGTGTGTTTTCAGCCTCTAGCTCCAGACACTTTCCTGGCCAGTGTCCCTAGGTAACCGTTTTTCTCTTCCTACCGCATCTTCTATCGGAGGGATGCCAAGAGCATCTACCGAGGAAGAGTCACTGGCCAGCTTCAAAGCCGGGACAATAGATTAACAGAAGGATTTAAGAGCTTGTTAATGACGACTCTGTAAGGAAGAGCCGGCATTGATTCCTTATTTTTGAGTTAATCCTTGTGCTGTAACCATGACTCCAGATTTTGCTTTGTTCCCAATTCTTTCACTTCTCTATTATTTTTGTCCGTCTTATCCTTTGTAATATAACATTTGCCTAAAAACAACAATGGAAAAAAAACTAGTTAACATTGGCAACAACGGTTTCAAGGTTGTATTTCAAATTGTGGTTAATCCTTCTGATGAAAGATCTTGTTGCCTAGGTTTAGCTCTTTTCCCCCCTCCTATTTTACATAGATTCAGGTGGAATTAAAGATAAAGAGAGGCATTGAGCCCTGTATTGTTGCATGCCAGAAAACAAATTATTTCAGGTTGTGTTATAAAGTGAAAAGTAATAACTGGTAACTTTCTGCAGTTACCTAAGCATACCAAAAAACAAATGTAATGATGAATATGATAGTTTTTAATGCTTTTACTCTCACAGTAAACAGCTTGAGAATTGTAGATGAGAATTCTAATAAATTTTCCTTTTGTGGGCAGCTACAGTATACTGTGACAAGTGAAGTTCCTGTTCTCTGGTCGTGTAATTTATTTCAGGGAGATCATTAAGTTTCCGTGAAATAAGAATTGTAATGATCACACTCCTTACTTTCAAGATACTGTTTTTTAGAGGATATATGGAGGAACCTAATTTTTAAAATAAATTTTAAAATATGTGGTGGTCTTGTAACATAGTGGATAGGATCATGGGTTCTGGAATTCTTGTGAAGTTGTCATAACATACATTAAGTGCTTTAAAACAACTTTTCTGCAGATTTTTATTATTTCATTTAACATTTGTAATTAAGGCAAAGATCTTCATCTGTTTTTTCACTTATATATGCTAAGCACCTAAAACAGTGTCTGACCCAGAGTAGGTACTTAATAAATATTTGTTGTTAGATAAATGACTTTGTCTATCATGGGCACCATTCTAGGCCCCAGGGTTGTAGCAAAAAAGAAAAAATCAAAAGCCCTGTTCTCATTGAATCTGTGTTTTAGTGAACCTTATATTCTAGCAATACCAAGACATTACGATTGAAATCTTACTAAGAATGCTTTTAAAATATAATGAAAACCCAGTGTAGTATTCAGTACATTTGTGGAAAAATACATGTATTCTGATGTAATATGTTATGAGGGGTATGTTTTATGGGCCCAGCTTATGATGCATCACGGTAAACAGTACTTGCTTATTACTTTTTGGGGGTATTTTGTTTTTGTTTATTGTTTAACAAAATGAGTTACTATCATTAGCTATGATGTGTTTAGTTCTAATTAGGTTAAGTTAAAATATATGAAATAGGTTTTTTTTTTTGTAGGACAAAACAGTTGAATATTAGTAATTCATGTGGTTTAAACTAATAAAAGCTCTGAGAGTTTTTACTGAAGTTAGAACAATGCCTTTCTTTCTTTCTTTCTTTCTTCTTTTTTTAAAATCAGTCCCTGTTAGGTCCCATTTTGCAAAGATCAGAAGTTGGAATCTTAAGGTTCCATCCATTAATTCATTCATCCATGCCTTCATTTAATAAACATTGATACAGTGATAAATAAGATAAAGTTTTTCCCCTATTGGAAGTTAAAGTCTAATACTTGGGGTTTTTGTTTTGTTTTTTATTTTTTAAAGATTTTATTTATATATTAGAGAGAAAGCACAAGGAGTGAGGAGGGAGAGAGAAAAGCAGACTCCCCTCTGAGCAGAGAGCTAGATGCAGGGACTCCATCCCAGGATGCCGGGATCATGATTTGAGCCAAAGGCAGATCCTTTAACCAGCTTTGCCCTTAAAGTCTAGCACTTTGAGGTCTAATAAATGTTATATTGCCGTCCTGTAGAAGATCTCCAGGAATTTGCTGACCATGTCATAGTAATTGAGTAAATATTGTACTGTTTGGTGTCAGACTCATGTTTCTAGTTGAAGCTAGTTACTGAATAATCTTGATTACAAAACCAGAAAATATACAGCCCCTTAAAAAATGCTATTGAAGATTATCATACTCTTTTAAAAATTATTTACATATAAAGCATGTGCCACTTTTATTATTTTTGGTCTTCTGGGACTTCTCATGTTCCCTGATCGTTAAGAGATGAGTAGTAGTCTGAACACTGTATTTCAAAACTAAATATAAATTCTCTCATGATTCTGTATCATCTATATTTGAGAATTTCTGTGTTCTGTGTGTAATTGGAGCAAAACCTTTAATTTCTTTTCACCTAACTCTTGTGCCCTGTAGGTATACCTAAGGCCTATAGAATTAGGTCTAGACTTGGGAGAGTTTTAGTCTCTCCTGAGCTTTGTATCTGTAAAATGGAGAGATGATAAACTTTAAGCAGATTTAATAAATACACTATTATCATTTCTTTCATAACATCTTGATAAGTAGTTATTAACAGTTATAATAGAGATCAGGCTCCCCATTCCTTTTTGGCTTACTAAATTAGCAGATCTTAGTGTACTGCCCTCTAAAACCTCATTAGAAGTCTAATTGCTCTTCTCTGGTGTACCCTAGATTTAGTTGAGGAAAGCATTCCTGTCCCATTAGGGTTTCCTTTTGGTTTTGTTTTTCTCTAGTCCAAACACATGCTAGTTTACTGAATAATTCTTCATCTTTATTGATTTATCTAGCATTCATTGTTTTTTAGTCTTGAGTTAGATGCTAGGTTATTTTAAAAGCCAGTGTGTTAGAGAGGCCTGTGTTTGGATCATTGTTTTGTTTCTTTTTAGTTCTCTGGTTTAGTAAATCTCCACTTCAGTTTCCTCAGCTATAAAAAATGGAGGTTTTAAATACTAATCTTCCTGAACTATATTAATATTAAATGATGTCACATACATAAAGCATTCAGTGAGGTGCCTAGTACATAGGAGTTCCCCTCAGTCCTTGTTTATTGGATGGGGAAACTCATATAAGTGTGTTAGGAGCTTAGAAGTGTTTCAGTAGAGGTAAAAAGCATGCTTGGAAGGGATTGTGTGCAGTCTTAATCTATAGATGGCTATGGTACAGGATAGGTTGGAGAAAGAAGAGACTGGAAATATGTATATGGGATGAGGATTTGAACTATAGGCACAGATTGTGGGAATTAAAAAGGGAGGAGAGGTGAGATATGACTTGGATATGAGAGAGAAAAAGAAGCAAAAGGGTTGTCTAGCTTTGACGAAGAGTTAATATTAATATCTGAAGGTCTCTGCTTTAAAAGTCTCCTCATTAAAGAAGCTTTCCCTGATCCTACCCACTTTCCAATACACTTACACATAACACTGTGACTGTCTTCTCTCTTCTTACTCTGCTCTATTTTTATGCATTGTGCTTATCACTACCTGACATTTTATGTATTTGTTTTTATTTTTTCCATGTTAGAAGAGTAGAAGCTCTGTAAGATCATCACTGTTTGCTTACTTCATCAAACAGTTCCTGTTTCAGGGCACCTGGATGGCTCAGTTGGTTAAGCTGCTGCCTTCAGCTCAGGTCATGATCCCAGAGTCCTAGGATCAAGCCCCACATTAGACTCCCTGCCAAGCAGGGAGTCTCCTTCTCCCTCTCCCTCTGCCTGCCATTCCTTTTGCTTGTGCTCTCTTCAATCTGTCAAATAAATAAATTAAATCTTAAAAAAAAAAAAAAAAAAAAAGAACAGTTCCTGTCTCATGCTAGGTGCTCAACAAATACTTGGGGGAATCAATAAATTGATCTATTTTAATGTAGTATTTAGGCCTGATAAAGGTTTCCTGCAGTTTAGGTAGAAGAGAAAGGGAGGAGGTAAAGAGGAGTTAGTAAATGTAAGCCAGTGTTTCAAAAGATGTGCTACTCAGGACATTGGTCCTAAATATCTCCTGGGGTCAGGATTTCTGTTAGGAAAATAATAATATACTAAATCTCTTTTTTAATACTGAGGAAGTTCTGCTCTAAGAAAACCCATTCCTTTAATCTAGCATTTGCCAAACATGTGACCGTGGATCAAGGGATTTGAGGGTGATTGGTGAAAGTAGAAATGACTAGTCACATTCAGACTGAGTAGGAAGAAAAGTGCAATGAGGAATGGGTTATCAAGAAGATGCAAATCATTCTGAGATCAAGAAAGTGATTTAAAGAGAGGTAGAAGGTAGAAGTACATGGCCAGAGAAGGTGCTTGAGTATTTTAAGAGTCCAGAGGTGGACCATTACTAAATTATTTTAGCAGTTGTTATTTTTGTTGAACTGGAGTGGTGGACTAAAGAGGAGTAGACTGTGAAGGCTCTGTGTTGAGTAGGTTAAGTGTGAATGTTTAACTGTTGAAATCTAGGATGAACTCAAAGAGGAAAGTCTTTTGAGATTATTAGGGATTGTTGACCTGAAAATAATTAGATTTTGAAAAGGATTGTTGGAAGAAGACTGTATAACAGATGCTGTATGCTTCAAAACGAAGGTTTGTTTTAAAGGTTGGATTCAGATGAGCCGTGACCCATGGTGAAGAAATAGACATGCTACACAGAAGCCAGAACTGTTCTTAATTTCCAAGATTTCATTTCTTTTGAAAATGTTCTTTCCTATTTCTTAAATAGATACATTTTAGAATGTCATAACTGTTTAGATAACAGCATATTATTTCACATCTCTATATATGTAATATATATAATAGTATTATATAAAGATACCATTTCAAGCCTTATGGTGCAGGTTTTGAAGTTGCCAAACACAGTAATGCATAACAGAATCAATACTGTGTGTGAGATAAATTTTATAAAGAGAAGTTATGGAGAGTTTTAGAATATTAAGGTACTTTAGTTACTTGGTTTTATCCATTAATTTGAGTGCTGCTTTCGACAGTGCTTGCTCTCTGCTATAATAGTCACCCCTCTGCATATCATCTCTACTATTTTTTATAAGCCTCACAGTTTGCTAGCTTTTGCCACACAAGAGAGATTAGTGTTTGCCTTCATGTGCTGGAGAAGAGTATTTTCTTATTTCATTGGTTGTAAAGCATTTGCATATATAACATCTCAGATGACCCCTTAAATTTTAAGGTAGATAGAGTAGATAAAATCCTCATTTAACAAATGTTAAACTGAGGCTATTTATATGATTAGTCATACATTTTTCTTCTAATTCATGTAGTGAAGACTTTTCCAGCAAGGAGAGAGACATCTTATTCTTTGCTTTAGTTCCTTGCAGATTCTCAGTTCCGTATATAGACAAGTGGAATTGATTTTCTCAGCATTCTGCATGCTACCTGAAGCATTCATTCCTCCATCTGCACTTGGTCAGCTGGTTTAATCATCCTTATATCTGACCAAATTTTTGTTTAATTTAATGCCAGTAAGAGGGTATGTTATCATCCATGTACTTTTCTTGCTAATGTGGTCTTAAGGTAGGTTTTATTAAATACATATAGTATATTTGTTATGGTGTATTAGATAGAAGGGGGCCATGCAGGTCATTCACCCTAACTTCCTTCCAAATTTTATACAAGAGGAGGCTGAACCTTAGTGAGGTTAAATATCTTGCCCAGGGAGTTATAGTTCTGAGACTTATGAGACAAATTTCAGTGCCTTTTTTGCTAAGCTGTCATGTCTTTTAATGAATACCATCACAACAAAATGTAGCTTTGTGACTCTGAACCTAAGCTGCTTATGACGTGTTGGTAGAAGAGGGTGTTCACACTAACATACATGTGCACGTTATAGTTTGTGAATTATAGGGCTATGCTGTATGACTAGCTAATATAAGAGGGAGGAAATTATAAATTTATAACTTTATTTATTTTGAATGAAGTAATGACTTCAAAATTTTTGTAAAATTTTGCTTTGTTATTTATTTAACTGAATATACTTTAAAGCAAGTAAAATAAGTGATACTCTAACATTTTGTATTGATGAATTTTTAAATCATTGCTTAGAATTTAAAGGATTATATGAAAATTATAAGTTAAACAAGCTTAATAGATTGTGTATCATGTGGCATCACTTTGAGCATCATTATGAAGACATTCTTAGTGTATGTTACAGATACATAGTGGAATTAAGTCCCCGATCTCCCTAGATAACCTAACCTCTGGTATTGAAGAGGAACAATTCAGGCAAATCTTTGCTTTTGTAGTGCCCACAGCTTTACTGCCACTGTAGAGACATTGCCTCCATTTGAGATGATAGTCACTATCTACCATTAAAATAGGGCAGTGGAGTATTGAGAGAATGAGAGAACAAAACAGTTTTTCTGTTATGGTTTGATTATATTCCTACTCATGTCTATTTTGATTCTTCTGTTAGTTTTCTTGAACTTACTAAATGCTTTGGAACAAATTACATGAAGTCATAATTGTACTTTTCTCATGAGTTTCTTTAGGTTACTTCTAAAACAAAGTGGCTATTTGTCTTTCATGTGATAAAGGAATTTTAACAGTAAAATATTCAGCAGAAAATATATTTAAGAAATATATTTAAATGTATCCAATTATGAATTATATTTAATTATTTTATATTATATATTATTAATATATTTAATTATTAAGTAAATAAAATATATTTAATATCGTTAAGATACAGATTCTATATTATTAATATATTTAATTATTAAATAAATAAAATATATTTAATATAGTTAAGATACAGATTCAAGTACCATTTTTAGAAAATCACAGGTATGGGAATAAATTTAGTTTTGATAATTGGCTAGACAATAAAATGACAAATAGACTCAGCTATGTAGAATTCCAAAGAATGTAGTTGTTTCTTTTAAATCAATTTAGTAACAAAATCTGTTGTATGAAAATGTGTGATAGATGCAGTAAGTTTTGATTGAGTAAGAGTTTCAGCTACTTGCCGGTTATTTAATGAATTGTGCCATAGGACAGAATATCTCAGTTTGCTGGTCCATTGAATTCTTATCTAATATTATATGTATAAAATAATGAACAATTTATATAATAAAGGTAAGCATAGTAACTAGGGATTCTTTAAGGCATTATAGTTCCTATTGTCTGCTGTTACACAGACCAAGATTCTTTTTTTTTTTTTTTTTTAAGATTTTATTTATTTGTGAGAGAAAGAGAGGGAGCAAAGCAGGGGGAGCTGCAGGAAGAGCAGGGGAAGGAGAACCAGGCTCCCCAATGAGCAAGGAGCCTGATGTGAGACTTGATCCCAGGATCGGGATCATGACCTGAGCCGAAGGCAGATGCCCAATGGACTGAGCTACCCAGGTGTCCCAGAACAAGATTCTTTTTATCTTAGAATCCTTAGATCATCTCAGGAAGCCATCTCACTGATCACCAATGTTATATCTTAATCCTTTGAAGATTAATAATATATAATATTAACCTCAAGGTAAACAGTGTTTAAAGTTTGGTAATTTACAGTAGAGACAGGCTATAAATTCAGAGAATGTAACAAATTGGTTTGTTTAAAATTAAAGAAAACAAGATATTTCCAACAATATCAGTTTGGTGATACTTAAATCATGACTTCAGTATTTGGCATGTTCTTTTTGACCGCTGATAACTCTAAGTCTTGTGCCTCTTTTAATAATATTACTTATTCCAAAATGAAACAAGACATTTTCCACAAGAACTGACAGCTTATATATGAGGACATTAAAATTTGGAAGTTTCACAATTTGAACAAAGAATTTATTGATTAAATTCTTTTTTGTTTTAGAAAATGGAAGTGTCCAGGTAGGAGAATTGTTACCTTGCAAGATTTGTGGAAGAACATTCTTTCCAGTGGCATTAGTGAGTACCTTTTTCCTTTGGATTATGATGGATCTCTAATTATTCGATACTTCACGACAACTATCTTGGGAAGAACCTCTGTGGAATAATTTAAAGAGATATACTGGTCAGTGTTCTTCGTTCATGAGTATCAGTTCCATCTATGTCTGAGGTTTCTTTCCTTCATAGTTTGGTCTTCAGAACTACTCTGTTAAAGTGTTTCTCTGTGGGAATATTAACAAAAACAGAACAAAAACTCAAAAATGCGTAATTATGTATTTAAAGATAAAGAATGATATGTGTCTGGGATCTGCTTTAAAGTACCTTAGGAAAAAGAGCTGGGATAGATGACAAGATTGCTAAATTGCTGATAATTGTTGATGAGTAAGTGGGAGTTCATGACACTATGCTCATAATTCTTATGTATATTTGAAATATTTGAAGAAAAGTTGTTTTCAATTAAAAGTGTACCTAAATTATATACCTATATTATGTATTCTTTTTAAATTTTTATTATTTTTTTATATTATACATTCTTTAGCTACTTTTATTAGTAACACAAATAGGAGTACTTTTAGTTTATTTTAATGTTAAATAACCAACTAACTAGAGAATAAGGGAAAAAATGCCTATGTACCTAAAATATTTTATTTTTACCTTAAATATAAAAATACATTTGTTAATATTTTGATGCAGAATAAAGACTTTTCTTTGAATATGCATCTGCTGATTAAAGTTCTGCCACAATCCAGAATGCGTGTTACTATTCCCAGTTTGTTTCTTTAAAGTAAAACAAGGATTTAATGATCCAAAATATCTGTTGGAATATCGACTCCTTTTAAATAATGACAGCTTTTTTTCCTTTGTTCTTTAAAAACTTCTTGCCCACACTTAACTCAATGATTTTGTTGTTTTTGTATCATCTTGCTGTTTTTCAAACCATTTCCAAAGCATTCAGCTCAGTTTACATAGGAAAGAAAATGCCTTCTTTTGCCCTTATTTAATATTTAATTAAATAATGTAATCACTATACAACTACAACTTATATAACACATCAGATATGGGAAAAAGTACTACATACTTTTGACAGAACTCAATGTAAGAACAGATATCTATCAGAAAATTGCTTGTTAGCCACACTTTTATTTTTTTCATATTTAAGAGATTTTTATTCTAATAGCTATAATTATAGTACTTGTTTGTTAAAATGAAAACTGAAAACAAGTATGTATTAATTTCTAAGTGTATCTTGAAAATTTAAGAAGTTGTATGATATCAAACCAACCAGTTTGGAGATTTCCTCTTTTCTCAGATAAAGTTTAACAGTTCTAGCTTGTTCAGTGTTTATCAAAATACAAAAGAAAAAAAGTGCATATAGTACACTTCCATTAACATATTTTATTTGGAAGAGGGAAAATGATTATTTATCCAGTAGGTTAACTGAAGGTCATTTATAAGAGCATTCATTGTAATATCCTTAAAATGAATACATGAATGATTGAATGAATGAGTTGGCAGCCATATTAAAAAAACCTATAGAAGTGGAATGCTAGATAGCTCAAAAATCATGGGTAAAGAAAGATAAACTTGTTTCTTGTAATATGTAAATGTAATATGGTAACATGCTACTGTTGTATTAAGAACTTTAGTAACCCAGGTTACTACTATTGTTTTAATTTTTGTAATCCTCACACTAATGCAGTCTCTGTTTATATTCTTTTTCCAGTATCTATTTTCATGTATTTAATAATGAAGATAACTCTTTTTTTTTTCCACTTAAATAACTTTGGCTTTGTTACATTATTTTCCTTATTCTTAGCAGTGTGAAAACTGGAATAGTCAATAACTCTTAATAAAATTTTGGAAGACTATTTATCTATACTTTCTTGTTGTATATAGTATTTATATTTTCTTGAGAAATAACTTAGAGCATGCATTATATATACTTTTTAACGGTTTTAGTTAAAGCAAAATATCCTATTTATATATTATTATTTTATCTTCTAGTTTTTAAATTGGTCTCAAATGACAATTTGATGTTTATAGATTTCCTTTTTATAGAAAAGAAAATGATGCATTGTATTTCTTTATCTTAATAGAAAAAGCATGGACCCATTTGCCAGAAAACTGCCACTAAGAAGCGGAAGACTTTTGATTCAAGCAGACAAAGAGCTGAAGGAACTGATATTCCAACAGTAAAGCCTCTTAAACCTAGGGTAATTATATAGCTTTTTGGATAGTATGAATTCTGCTTTGTGTTTTCAGTTTAAAAATGATCAGAATCTTGTTTATTTTAAACTTCTGCTAAAGGGAAACCAAACTACTATCTCCAGATCTATTACAGTGAGGTTTTTATAGCATCAGATAGCCAGTTGCTTAGCTATAGCCTGGAAATAATTAAAAATTCCTTACATGTTCTTTTTAAGTCATTGTTAATTATTGAAGCCTATTTAAGCGCTCTAAGTTTAAGCCTCTTATCAATAGTATAGACCCTATATACAAAAGCAAAGTTATAATTTACAGATACCTTGGCATTATAGATATTTAATATCTTGATTAATTGTCCGTAATTGTGATCTTACGCTTTCTGGGGAAGTTTGATCAGTTACTCAACTGTCCATGTATAGCCGTTGTCAGTTTATTTTCTTTGAAAGCAGTGAATCTCCTTTAATAATATCTCTTTAATTCTACCTGTGATATGTTATATTGCCAAGAATAAAGCACATACATACTTTGTTCGACATGGTTTTAAAGAGTTAGTTCAATGAAAAGTCAAAATTTGAGTACTTCATTGAATAGATTTTTGAAATAAACCCTTCTTCATTGATAATAACTTCTCCCAGTGCTACAGGAAAACATTTCCCTGTGGGGCAATTAATCTTACTAATAAAATTATTTGATAATAGAAAAGTCGAATGTTCATCTTTTTTTTCAGTCTATGTATAAGTGAAGGTGAAATTTGAATAATGTACATAAACAATTATTTGATTTTTTTTCTTAGTATATCTGCTAGATATATGATTATATTGGCTTTAATTAGCTAAGAGGTCAACTGTTGAAATTTTTAGACAGTGTAATATACTGGGTGTGAAAATGAAAGCTGGCTCAAGAGTCATACTGCCTGGATTTAACCCTTGCTCTGTTACTTACCGTCCTGTGTTGGGCAGTTACTTTATCTGTACATCTCTTTGTCTGTAAAATGGTGATAGTAGTGCTAGTATCTGTCTTGTAGGGTTCTTACTGAATTTATCCATAGTGATCTCTCAGTAAATATTAGTTATCCTATTTTTTTAAATGATTTATTTATGTATTTATTTATTAGAGAGAGTGTGTGCAAGAGTGGGTAGGGGCAGAGGGAGAGGGAGAGAGAAACTCAAACAGACTCTGCTGAGTGTAGAGCCTGAGGCAGGCGATGGGGTAGGTAGGGGGTTGGAATTGCTCAATCCCACAACCCTGAGATCATGACCTGGGCTGAAATCAAGACTTGGACACTTAACCGACTAAGGGAGAAGATTCTAATAGTGAAAAAAATTGATCTTCAGATAAAAACAAAGTAAAAACCATGCCTTTACATGAAGTAGTATAATTTCTTGGTACTTAAAAATGTGGTTCATAGAGCAGTCGTACCAGCACTCTTTGGGAACTTGTTAGAAATGCAGAATCTCAGGTCCCACCGAGAAATACTGAGTTAAGAATCTGCATTTTAACAAAATCCTTGGGCAAGTCATAGGCGCCTTAAAGTTTGAAAAGTTGTGTATTAGAAGATTTTTTCAAGATTTTATTTATTTATTTGTTAGAGAGAAAGCATGAGTGGGGAGAGGGGCAAGCAGAGGGAGAAGCAGGCTCCCCACTGAGCAAGGAGCCTGATGAGGGACTTGATCCCAGGACCCTGGGATCATAACCTGAGCCAAAGCCAGATGCTTAACCAACTGAGGCACCCAGGTGTCCCAAACATTATTTTTATTTTTATTTTTTTTTTAGATTTTGTTTATTTATTGGATAGAAAGAGAGTGAATGAGAGAAAGAGAGAGAGAGAGCGTGAGCACTGCCGGGGGAGGGGCAGAGTGAGAGGGAAAAGCAGACTCCCCACTGAGTAGGGAGCCTTACATAGGGCTCTATCCCAGGACACAAGGGATCATGACCCCAGCCAAAGGTAGATACTTAACCGAATGAGCCACCCGGGCGCTCCTGTATTAGGAGATTTTAACATCATAGTGCAGTTCTGTCTTTATCTGTATCAAAGAAGTCCTACAAAATCACCAGCAGAGTGGAGTAAAGCAGATACAAATTCCATTTGGGGAATAACTAAAGGTAGGCATAATCCACAGAGTACAAAATATATGTAAGGGCTGCCCAAAGCTTCTGGTCTTCCAGAAGAACCTGCCCATAGAAGAAGTGCAGAAAGTGACTAAAGGACCCATGGCCCGGAATGGGAACCTGTCACCTTAAAGATGAAGGGTCTCCTTGCCTTAAATGTGACTCCTTAAATGTGAGGGGTCTAAACAAGAAGTATAGACCCCTTTTTTGCTGCTGCCAAAGCAGGAATTGGGGTATCGGAACTTGTGTAGCCAGGAATTAGAATGAGCTTGGCTGAAATTGGACAATAACCAGGAGGGAGGAAGTAGGGACATAAGGCACAGAGAGTTGAAGGGGGCCCAATGGCAGAAGCTCTCAAAAAATCACTAATGAAAAAAATATATACTTTCTGAATGTAAGGAGCCTATCTAAAGGGCTAGGTCTTTTTGTTTTGTTTTGTTTTGTTAGTTTGTTTAAGTGGTTAATATGGTTACTGAGGGAAGCATGGTTGGCAACAGGAGCCTTCCTGGACCCATGTTGTTTTAGAGAAGCATGAGAGGTATGGCCGTGTGATCAGAGAGGCCTTATTTGCATCCATATCTGGTATAACAGAGAAGAGAGCTGGCTGTCAGTTTGTGTACCTTGGAAGCAAACTGTGCACCTCTCCTCCCTAGAACCTCTTGTAAATAGATGTAACAAGAAAACCTAATTCATTCAATCATGAGTAATAAAAAGCATTAATTTAGCACTGACACAGGATGCTGTGAGAAGAAAGGTAGATGAGAGCAGCAAAACTTATCAGTAGGTGAGTTATACTTACGAGGTAGATGAATGGTGTGATCACACCTTTCACCATAAAAATAAACTTTAAAGAATCAGTCACATTCAACAACTGAGTTTGCTTGTATTTAGTTAAGATTTTGTATCTATATTTGTGAGAGAGGTACATTTGTAATTTTTCTTTTTATCAAACATTTATTGCTCTCAACAGACTAGTTAGAAAGTTGTTCTCAGGGTGCTTGGGTGGCTTAGGCAGTTAAGCACCTGCCTTCCGCTCAGGTCATGATCCTGGTGTGCTGGGATCGAGCCTTGCATCAGGCTCCCAGCTCAGTGGGGAGCCTGCTTCTCTCTCTCCCTCTGCTGCTCCCTCTGCAGTGCTCTCTCTCTCAAATAAATAAATAAAATCCTTTAAAAAAAGGTTGTTTTCTTCATTTATGTTGAAAGAGTTTTTAAAAGATTGATGCTATTTCTTCCTTAAATGTCTGCAAGAATTCAATAGTAAAGGCATCTGGGCCAATTTTCTTTAGGTTTTTAAATAATAGATTCACAAAAAAAAATAATGTGAGACTGTTAGGATTTTGTTTCTTTTAGTATCTGTTTTGTGGTGTTTGTCAAGGGTATTGTCCACTTAATGTTGTCAGATTTATTAGCACAAAGGTCTATTATGGTGTATTCTTTTTTCCTCATGTTTATAAGAACTATATCATGTACTATTTTCCATCCCTTGGTATTTTGTGATTTCCTTTTTTCCCTTATTAGTCCTGCCTTATTAGTATTTTTAAAAAATCATCATTTGACTTTGCTGATTCAATGTATATTCTTGATTTAAAAAATAAAGACCTAATAAGGATAGTTGGGTATTTGAATAATGTGACAAAATAAATGTATGATAGCACAGGAGCCAGCATTATGCATAGTAGAAAGATGCTTAGAGATAGCCATTAAAGACAGGAACAAGATTAAGCTCCAAGCAATATAGTAATTGCTATAACTGATATAGTTAGATATTAGATGCATAGGGATTAGAAAAGAAGAGGTAAATGCATCATTATTAGGAGATGATATACCTGGAAAACCCAAGAGAATCAGCTGCTAAAATATTACAGACAATAAGAGAAGCCTGTGAAATAATGAGATATAATGCTAATATACAGAAATTACTAGGTTTCATATTTCAACAAACCCTTGAAACATAAAAAAGTAGAAAAGACTCTTTATAAAAGAACAACACAAAATAAAAAATGTTTAGGGATAAACCTTTTAAAGGTATAAGACTTTCACATAGACTGCTTAAAAAAACAAAGCACAAATACTTCTTCAAATGCAAATATTAGATAATGTTTTTGGATAGGTAGATTCAACAAAATAAAGATATTAAGTTTCTTAAGTTGTTTATGAATGTAATGTTTAAGTTTTCCAGTTAAAATACAGTTTAAAAAATTAGACAAGCTGATTCTGAGGTTCATATGGAAAAAGGTACATACAGGAATAAGCAGAAAAGATTGAAAAAGCAGAATGAAGTAGGGTTATCCTATCAGATATTAAAATATTATTATAAAGTCTCAGTATTTAAAACACTGGTACTAACACAAGCATAGTCAGAACACTGGAGCAGAAGAGAAAGTTCAGAAATAGGCCCAAATACAAAAGATAATATGATAAAGGTGTTAATAGTTCAGTGGGGAGCAAAGTCAATAAAGGATGCTGAGACAGCTACATAGCCATGTTAAAACCAAAAAATAAAGTTGAATCTATATGTCACAATATAACTCATGATAAATTCTGAATGAATAAAAGATTTAAAATTTTACAATGAAGTCATGAAAATTCTAGGAGGAAAACATGGGAAAATTCCACTTGTTCCAACTTTATACATTAATTCAATGTGTAAAGTTGGGCCTTGCTAATAGTGACTATAAATCTGGAGACCCCATGAAAAAACAAGTAAATTAAACTATATTTTAAAAATTAATTCCTCATATCAGAAGATCCTTAGACAAGGTCATAAGACAGCCATATTGTAGGGGAGGGCTGAGGCTAATCTATAAAGAGTTAACTATAAATTGCTAAAATTAAGACCAGTAATCAACAGGTAAGTTGACCAGGCACATAAACAGTGCACAAAAAAGGCAATGCAATTATTCTTAATGATATAAAAAGATGCTCAACACACTTCTTATAAGAGAAAAGCCAGTTAAAACCAACAGAGAAAACTATTCTTTACCTTTCCAGTCAGTTAAAAAAACCAAAAGTTTAACATACTCTGTTGGAGAAAATGTAGTCAAATAGGGAAATTACATTGTTAGTGGGAGCCTAAGTGGATGCAACACATATAGAAGTTAATTTAGCAGTGTTTATCACAATTATAATTGCATTTTAAAAATTGCATATAATAAAATTACATGAAGTTTCTTTTTAAAATCATAAATTTTAAGGAAAGTAATTTAAGGACCTCCTAATAAGAGAACATTTAAAACAATATAGCATTTTCTCAAGTTTTATTTCAATTAATTTTTTAAAAAGATTCTATTTATTTGAGATAGAGCACAAGCAGGAGGGAGAGGGGAAGGGAGAAGTAAGCTATCTGCTGAGCAGGGAGCCAGGACCTTGGGATCATGACCCGAGCCAAAGGCTGATGCTTACCGACAGCCACCAAGGTGCCCTATTTCAATTAATTATTTTAAAAATGTTTTGAAATGGGCTTTTCTTTATTTGTTTGTAGCCTGAACCACCAAAGAAACCATCTAATTGGAGAAGAAAACATGAAGAATTCATTGCCACCATAAGAGCAGCTAAAGGCCTTGATCAGGCACTTAAAGAGGGTGGAAAACTTCCTCCTCCTCCTCCACCTTCTTACGATCCTGGTATGTAGAATATTGTTGTTGGAAATCTTCATATGGAGGGAAAATATTGATAGAATTATTAATTTTAAGTTGTTGATAAGATTAATTTATAATAATGGAACCTGATGAACCATAATCTTTTAAAGTTTAATTATAAAATAATGATGCTACTCCAGGCATTTAGGCTTATAAAGACACACTGATGTTGAACATAGAAATACTTTATCTTTTTATCTCAGTACTATTTAAAAATGAAACATTATAATGTCATTTGAAAAATTATTGTAGTATATCCCAGGAAATATTTGAAGAAGCTCACTGTCATTCGAAATGTAGTCGTTTGGTAAGATTGAGATTGTATGTTGCCTAGTTCTTTGGTATCTTCTCATCTGGGAAGAAAAGAAATCATTGTTTCTAAGAGGTATGTGTTCATGTGAGGAGACCACCATATAGCTTGATTTACTTAAATTATGCTTTAAGTTCGTATGTTAATATAGTTTCTTCATTAGATGGATAAAAGTAGCTTATTTGTTACCAGAAGCAAGGCAAGATGCTGGAAACCCAATATGAGATACTGAGATACTGGAACATTCAAAATATCCACAATTGACAATTTGACATGGGCTAGTAGAATAGTTTAAAGAGGTAGTTATTTAAATGTATGAAGTTAGCTGCATTAAAATTGTGTTAGTATTCTTGATTGAGAGCTATTTTTTAGTAAAGGGAAGTTCTTACCAAGTAAATCAGGGAGATGAAAAGCATAGCATCGGGAATATAGTCAATAATATAATTACTTTGTATGGTGACAGATGGTTAGTGTGGATTGAATATCATATAGAATTGGCAAATGACCGTGTTGTACACCTGAAACTAATATAACATTGTATGTCAGCTATACTTCAGTAATAAATTAAAAAAAATAAGTCATTTAGAAAATCTACATATGATCATTTTTAACATTTTATTGTAGTGGAGAGGTTGACAAACTATTTCTATAAAGGACCAGATAGTAAATATCTTAGTTAATGAGGTATATTTTTATCTCTTCTTTCATCTAAGAGAAAATACAGCTGTATAAAGCTGATTAAACTATTTCTTGACAGTTTTCCTCTAATTAAAATATTTTAACAGATCAGCCCAAATTTTAAAATTTACTTTTAATATAATATGTTATTACTGCTTAACTTCGTCTCTAGTATAAAATATGTAGATATGGTGAAAACATATGGTATATTATGAAGGCAAAGAAGAAATCCTGTTTTTCCTCTATGTATTCATTCTTTTTTACTAAGGATTTTTATCTTTTGGAGTTTTCTTTCCCCCCTTAAATTTGATTCTAGGCTGGCAGAAGATTAGAATTTATCATATACTGGCAAATTTTTTTCTTAAATGTCTTTACTGAGTTTAGTAGTCAGGTTGGGGGGGTTTTAAGTAAATGACAAGTTTTGCTTATCAAATATAATACTTTGTCAGACATCTTGAATTACTCTTTGTTAAAATTTATAATTCTTTATGTTTCTCTTCCAGGTACTTTATTAATCTGTTTCTTTTTTCTGTTTTAGATTATATTCAGTGTCCATATTGCCAGAGGAGATTTAATGAAAATGCAGCTGATAGACATATTAATTTCTGTAAAGAACAGGCAGCACGTATTAGTAATAAAGGCAAATTTTCTACTGATACCAAAGGAAAGGCGACTTCTCGGACACAGGTGAAATGCTCAATTATTTCTACAAATAAAGGAGAAAAATGACTCTTTCAGATTCACAATTTTTTGCTTATGCTTTACAGAACATTTAGCTACAGTTTTCTTACTTGCTTAAAGTTTAATATTACTGTTCAGGGACTTAGTAAGAAATTTGAATGTTTAATAGAGAACAAATAATTGAATGGACTTGAGTTAATAGAGTCTTGAAAATAATGCAGGTTGAAAAAGGTATTAGGAAAGGGTAAGAAAACTAGTTAAAAAGTAAGTGAAGCAGATTCAGAGGAAATCAGAGGGTTTGGAAAGTGAGAAAGTGGCAATAAAAATCCACATTTGAAAATCATGTATGTACTGAAAGTTTCCATGCTATGTGTGACCATACACCCAAGGAAATGAAATCCTGGGCTCAAATCCAACTGTTACTTCTGAGCTTTAGGCAAGTAACATTTCATGTCTGATAGACTTTATTTCTTCATCTGTGAAGTAGTCTATATGATCTTTGTGAAAAGCAAATGAGATGGTATATGTGAAAGCACTTCAGGAGCCATAAATCGTATATGGATTTTGTTATATGAAATTTTTCCAGTACTGTTGTTTTTCATTAAGCATATTGTGACACAGAAACTTTGATAATGTCATATTCTTTTTTGAGATTTATTTATTTTATAAAAACGTTGATAATGTCATACTTTTTTTTTTTAAAGATTTATTTATTTATTTTAGAGAGAAAAGAACATGAGTGGGAGGGGCAGAAGGAGAAGGAGAGAGACTCTTAAGCAGATTCCCTCCTGAGTGAGGAATCCAACACAGGGCTCCATTTCAGAAACCTGAGATCATGACCTGATCCAAAACCAAGAGTCAGACATTTAACTGACTGTTGCCACCCAGGTGCCCTGATAATGTAATACTTTTCAGCAAACTTCATTTTTCAGAAAACTTTCATTTACAGTTTTTTTTAGTACTATAAATCTAGCAGGCAATAAATAATCAAATCCATTTCACTTATTACTTATGAATCAAGTATTGGACTAAAAGGCTCCATTACAACTGGAGCCTTCTTGAGAGGATCCATATTTAATTTTGGTTAATATTATTGGAAATAGAACTCCCCTCTTATTTTTTACAACACTTTTATTCTGGTGTTTTCCTCATTATTTTTCTCAGTTATTTTATTGTAAATTATACACTGTAAATTTCTATGTATATAGAAAAAAGAAAAACAGGAGTGCCTGGGTGGCTCAGTCTTTAAGCATCTGCCTTCAGCTCAGTTCATGATCCCAGGGTTCTGGGATTGAGCCCCGCAGCGGGCTCTCTGCTCGGCAGGAAGCCTGCTTCTCCCTCTCCCACTCTCTCTGCTTGTGTTCCCTCTCTTGCTGTGTCTCTGTCTGTCAAATAAATGAATAAAATTAAACAAAAAAATAAAATATACATACATGCATAACCACAAGAAGGTTAAGAAATAGAATATTATCAATCTCACAAAGCCTCTACTATACCATTTCTCTCCCAGAATTGTAATGTTCTCTCCCTCTTAGACCCTCACCCCATGAAATAGTCACTATTCTGATTTTACATATAAATCAGTCTTTGCTTTTTTACGTAGTCTCCAGACAGGATTGTCCTTTTATTTACTATGGCTTTATAAATCTTGATGTCATGATGGATTTGTAGTTATTTTCTCCTCCAGTTTCTCTTCACTTGAAAATAGACAGTTGAAAATATTTTCTAATTTGTGATTGTGCCTTCATTTTTTTTGTTATTATTGTAGGTTGTTTTTATTTTTGTATTTTTTGTTATTTGTTTTGTTTCGTTTTTATTTTTTATTTTTTTATTTTTTTATTTTTTACTTTTTTTTTTTTTTAATTTTATTTTTTATAAACATATAACATATTTTTATCCCCAGGGGTACAGGTCTGTGAATCACCAGGTTTACACACTTCACAGCACTCACCATAGCACATGCCCTCCCCAATGTCCATAATCCCACCCCCCCAAACCCCTCCCCCCATCAACCCTCAGTTTGTTTTGTGAGATTAAGAGTCACTTATGGTTTGCCTCCCTCCCAATCCCATCTTGTTTCATTTACTCTTCTCCTACCCCCTTAACCCCCCATGTTGCATCTCCTCTCCCTCATATCAGGGAGATCATATGATAGTTGTCTTTCTCCGATTGACTTATTTCGCTAAGCATGATACCCTCTAGTTCCATCCACGTCGTCGCAAATGGCGAGATTTCATTTCTTTTGATGGCTGCATAGTATTCCATTGTGTATATATACCACATCTTCTTTATCCATTCGTCTGTTGATGGACATCTAGGTTCTTTCCATAGTTTGGCTATTGTAGACATTGCTGCTATAAACATTCGGGTGCACGTGCCCCTTCGGATCACTACGTTTGTATCTTGAGGGTAAATACCCAGCAGTGCGATTGCTGGGTCATAGGGTAGTTCTATTTTCAACATTTTGAGGAACCTCCATGCTGTTTTCCAGAGTGGTTGCACCAGCTTGCATTCCCACCAACAGTGTAGGAGGGTTCCCCTTTCTCCGCATCCTCACCAGCATCTGTCATTTCCTGACTTGTTAATTTTAGCCATTCTGACTGGTGTGAGGTGGTATCTCATTGTGGTTTTGATTTGTATTTCCCTGATGCCGAGTGATGTGGAGCACTTTTTCATGTGTCTGTTGGCCATCTGGATGTCTTCTTTGCAGAAATGTCTGTTCATGTCTTCTGCCCATTTCTTGATTGGATTATTTGTTCTTTGGGTGTTGAGTTTGCTAAGTTCTTTATAGATTTTGGACACTAGCCCTTTATCCGATAAGTCATTTGCAAATATCTTCTCCCATTCTGTCAGTTGTCTTTTGGTTTTGTTAACTGTTTCCTTTGCTGTGCAAAAGCTTTTGATCTTGATGAAATCCCAATAGTTCATTTTTGCCCTTGCTTCCCTTGCCTTTGGCGATGTTCCTAGGAAGATGTTGCTGCGGCTGAGGTCGAAGAGGTTGCTGCCTGTGTTCTCCTCAAGGATTTTGATGGATTCCTTTCTCACATTGAGATCCTTCATCCATTTTGAGTCTATTTTCGTGTGTGGTGTAAGGAAATGATCCAATTTCATTTTTCTGCATGTGGCTGTCCAATTTTCCCAACTCCATTTGTTGAAGAGGCTGTCTTTTTTCCATTGGATATTCTTTCCTGCTTTGTCGAAGATGAGTTGACCATAGAGTTGAGGGTCTATTTCTGGGCTCTCTATTCTGTTCCATTGATCTATGTGTCTGTTTTTGTGCCAGTACCATGCTGTCTTGATGATGACAGCTTTGTAATAGAGCTTGAAGTCCGGAATTGTGATGCCACCAACTTTGGCTTTCTTTTTCAATATTGCTTTGGCTATTCGAGGTCTTTTCTGGTTCCATATAAATTTTAGGATTATTTGTTCCATTTCTTTGAAAAAAATGGATGGTACTTTGATAGGAATTGCATTAAATGTGTAGATTGCTTTAGGTAGCATAGACATTTTCACAATATTTATTCTTCCAATCCAGGAGCATGGAACATTTTTCCATTTCTTTGTGTCTTCCTCAATTTCTTTCATGAGTACTTTATAGTTTTCTGTGTATGGCTTCTTAGTCTCTTTGGTTAGATTTATTCCTAGGTATCGTTTTTATTTTTTAACTGGAGTATGATATACTCCACCTGATCTTCCCGACCCTCCATAATCCATACCTTCCGTCCCTCCCAGCTGACTTAGTTTTCTCCATGTTCTAAAATACACCTCTGATCCTGGTAAATTGGTCTCCTTCACATTCACATCTATAAAATGGGGTTAATATGTACCTACCTCAACAGTTATCAATAGCATTCAGCGAAATAATGCCTATAGGTGTGATTTCTTCTTTCACTCATAGTTTGTTCAAATGTGAGTCATTTACTTCCAGATATTTGGTGCTCCTCTAGATGTTTATTGCTGTATTTTTTTTTTTTTGCCTCATTCTCTTATGGTGTGAGAACATTCTTGGTAAGATTTCATTTTTGAGATTTGTTTTATTGCCTAGCATGTGATCTTTTTTGGTGAATGTTCCTGCAGTCTTCTATGATTGTGACTTTTTCAAGATCATTAATTTCACCAGCTTTTCGTTTAAGTATTTTTAATTTCTCTTATTAATTGTATTTATATTTAAAATTTGTTGTATCTTTCCTATTTATTGACCTTTATATCATATGGAGTGTGCCTTTTTTTCTGTGGTAGTAGCATTCTTTGTGTTGAAGTATGTGTCATCTGATAGTGTATTGCTGTTTTGTTTGATCATGCTAATTTCCTTTCAGTTTTTTAACTTGAATTTTTGTTGTTGAAATGTGTTTCATCTGATAATAAATAACCATTTCAGCTTAATTATGCTAAATTTCTTTCTAATTCTTTCACTTAAATTTGTGTTTTTGCATCTCCTGTAGACAGCCTGTAATTAGTTCATCTTTTTTAAAATCCAGTCTGACAACCTCAAACTGTTGGTTGAAATGTTTAGGCATTTACACTCAATATAATATTGTTATGTTTGTGGTTAATTCTGCTGTGTTGCTATTTTCTATTTTTGTCTCTTTTTTTTATTCCTCTGATACTTTTTCCTTGCTTCTTTTGTCTTAATAAAAGATATTTTATTTGCTCTTTTGGTTTTGAGTCATCAGATTTTTTTAAATGGTTACTCTACGAATAACAAAATACATTTTTTAACTTACCCCATCTGTGGCTATTTCCACATACCTCTCACCGATCTTAGTGTTACTGTTAAATATATGTATCTCTATAAACCCATCAGTATTCTTGTGTGTTGCTATATGTGTTATACTTATACCTTTAAAGTCATCTGTTCTTTTTTTTTTTTTTTAAGATTTTATTTATTTATTTGACAGAGATTACAAGTAGGAAGAGAGAGAGAGAGAGGAAGGGAAACAGGCTCCCTGCTGAGCAGAGAGCCTGATGTGGGGCTTGATCCCAAGACTCTGGGATCATGACCTGAGCCAAAGGCAGAGGCTTTAACCCACTGAGCCACCCAGGCACCCCAAAAGTCATCTGTCTTTTAAACAAATTAGAAAATAAATATATAATCATTTACATACATATGCGCATGTGTATGTTTATGCACACCCACATATACTTTTTTTTTCTTCTGCCTCTGTCTCCTCCTCACACACATTTTGTATTTTACTTTCATGTTATGTAGTCCCATATTATCATTTTCAGATATCTTCATTTCTTCTTGTAAATCTCAGTTGCCATATTTTGTCATTTGCCTTCAATCAGAAGAAGCTTTAGCCTTCTAAGAACACAGATCTGTTGGCAAGGAATTTTGTGGTTTTGGTTATCTGAAAAAAAAAAAAAAACAGGCCTGTATTTTGCCTTTATTTCTCTGTTGAGATTTACTATGTGATTATTCACTATTACTATATTTTCCTTTAATTCTTGTGTGTGTATCCCTTTACCTTTTGAATAATGTATGTATATGTATGTATGTATGTATGTATATATGTATATAATGTATGTATATCCTAACTATTTTGAGGGCCTTAACTGCTAAATCTAATATACCTGTGCCCACCTAGGTTATAACGTTGACTATTTTCTGCCACATATAGGTCATGTTTTTCTCTTTCCTTTTTCCTTTTCTTTCCTTGCCTCTCCCTTCCCCTTCCTTGCTCCTTTCCCTTTCTTACAGTTAAACCCAGAATACATACTTACCAGTTTTCCAAAACTGCTTTTGGATGGTTTCCAGTCTCTTAAAATCTTGTTTTTTTTTAAGATCCTTTTTTATTGTCTGTAAGAGAGTTAAGCAGCTATTTCACTCCCCCACCGAGTTTGTAGTCAGTTATTGCATTTTTTTAATTTCTTGAAGTTGGCTGTTTTTCTAATTTCCTATTTTACCTTTTATAGTTTCTAATTCCCTGTTAATATTTCCAGAGTTGTCTTTTATTTCTTTAAATGTGGTAAGCATAATTGTTTTATACTATGTAGCTGATAATTGTAGTATCATGTGATCTTTGTAGATATGTTCTTGTTTCTTTTCCCTCAATGATGGTTTCTTATGTCATCATGTACATAATTACTAATCATTTGGTGCTTGTTGCCCTCAAAAATTATTCATGAGAATTGTTCATGTGAAGAGCCTTTTTGCTTCTTCCAGGTTATCTAAGAGTACTACCAATCTGGAAGCACTTTAAATTTTGGCTTACTTTGCCTGACCACCTAGTAATGTAGATTTATACAGCAAATCCACATGATGGCCAGTCTGTTGTCATAATCTTAAATGTTGTTGGCCTAAAGGTTTATTTTTTCTTCTTATCTGACATTCATATCTTATAAAATGATTTTTTTTATACTTTGCAGAGCATTTTTACTTTTTAGTTGAAAGGTCAGTCCAAATAATGCCTTTTTACTATTTTATCAAAAATGAATGCCCTCTTTGTTCTTTTAGCTCTTTCTAATTCAAGAACAAGTCTTTATAAACATAAATATTTGACTTAGAAAATTTATTAGATTTGTGATCTGTATAAAAGCACATGAAATAATAAACATCTAACAAATACATATTTAATGAAAAATATGGATTGAATATAACTGTATAAAAGTAAAGTGGTTTTGTTTTTCTAATCACTAAAATGGATTTAATTTATATAAAATTGTTGATTACTGAAGTTGTCCTGAAAGCCTAAAGGTTTGACCTCTGCATATGTAATATACTATAACCAGCACCCTTTGTTTATACTAATCATTTTGCTCTTTTTTTGGTAGGTAGCACAGTATGAGTGGCTTACCAATCCTATTTCTTAATTCAGTTAAGCCTATTTTTAGTAGACATGCCTGTGATATTTTAAGGGGTCTTCGGCAGGGCTTGTTTTCCACATTGTTCTTAGTTTTAAAATCTTTCCTAATATCTTCATTGGTATTTTAGTGGGAGACACTGGTATTAACTGATGTTAATTAAATTTAAATTAATTAAATTTAAAGATTTATTCCTTTTAGAGAGAGAGAGCTCACAGATGTGTGAGTGGGGAAGGGGCAGAGGGAGAGAATCCCCAAGCATACTCCCTGCTCAGCCTGGAGCCCGACCCCAGTGATCTCACATTCCCAAGTTCATGACCTGAGCTAAAACTAAGAGTCTGAGTCGCTCAACCGATTCAGCAGCCCCCAGATGCCCTCTTTTCCCCCTTTTAAAAAATTTATTTGTTTTTATTTTATTTAAAATTAATTAGTTAACATATAGTGTGTTATTAGTTTCAGTGGTAGAGTTCAGTGATTTATCAGTTGCCAGTTGACTTTTTAAACCAGAAACACCCCTTAGGTTTTCAAAGAAACAGTGACTTAATATGGCTTATCTCCAAAGGATCCCAGTCATGTGTTCATTTGACAGATATTGAAGGTTGTCTAGTTGCCAAGTGCTTAAGAAATTTCCGCTTCTGGCGCAATAGTGCCAAATGTGCATGGGATGTGTGTGTGTGTGTGTGTGTGTTTGTGTGTGTGCGTATGTGAGAGAGAGAGAGAAAGAGAGAGAGAAGCGTTTTTATCAAGATTTATTTTCCTTATAAGGGCACATACTAAATTTTGAAGGTTGTAATATTTGACTTTAAAATTTGTGTTTAGCTAGCAGTTTTTAGTAGTAGTGCATCTTAAATTTTATACTGATTATTGGTTATAAAATATGATTTGATTTTTGAATATTATGTTTAAAACCAGCTTTTCACATAAAGTCCTAAGGAGTCTGACTATGATATTGGGCTAAATCTCATGTACAGTCATCACTTTCTAGTTGAAGCATAGGGCAAGAACTAAAGTGGCATGAGTCTTAATTCCTTTTCTGTTGTTAGTTGGGTATACCTTTGGGCAAATTCAGTTTTTTATATTGGAGCAGGTGACCAATAAGATACTTTAATACTCAGTAACAGCAAAATTTGGCTCAGGTAAGAGATAGTAAAATAAAATTGATAATGCTGTCTTTCTAGAAAGTAGAGGAAAAAAATAGCCTATCTTTCCTCAACCCACGTTCTATTCATTTAACATGATCTGGTGAGAACAGTGAAGCCAGAATTCTTTCCCTTCATGTTCAGGAAATCCGTAAGGCAGCTCTTGTAAAACTTGCAGACTTATTTGTAATCTTATGAATTATTATCAGTAGGAAATATGACTGAATTATATATATGAAACATAAAACCATACCCAGGAACATGTAAAAATTTGGACCTTTAAAGCTGCATTGCTAAGTGAGCATTGTTGGGTGTTTGTAAGTTTTTCTATTAATATTTGTTTGGCATTTAAAATCTTAACATTGAAGAAATTTTTTCCATTTGACCCTTTTTTTTTTTTTTTCCTGTGGACTGGGCAAAGCTGCTCGTAGTTTATTTTAGCAGTGGAATATCTGAGTCAAACTTTCAGTACACCAGTTTTGAGATGGAGCATATTTTGGGAAACCTCTCTCTGAGTTGATATATTTTAATCTGTCCTTTCTCAATTTCGGTAATTCAGTAGCTAATAAAGAAAATTGCTCATTTAAGGGTATGTGAGCTTTGAAATGCTAGTTTACAACCTATATTCAAAAAGTAATGTTGACAAAATATTTTATTTTCATTATTTTAGTATAAGCCGCCTGCACTTAAAAAGTCAAATTCTCCTGGAACTGTACCATCAGGATCTTCACGGTTACCACAACCAAGTGGCACTAGCAAAACTGTTGTAGGTAATGAGCTCCATAAATAACTTGGTTTTTCTATTGTTATTATTGTTGGTTTTTGTTTGTTTGTTTGTTTGTAGAGACAGAAATGAAGATAGTGTTCTGCTTGGGATTATTAAAATCACTTTATAATTAGGAAGAGATGTGGAGGATATGTAATTCTTTCTGGGTAAAAATAAAGTAATTTTCAAAAACTTTCTACTTAGGCTACTTTATAGGCCTTTTTTCCCACCTTAAATGTCTATTCTTGATGTTGTTACTGATATATCACCTATTCAGAGTGTCGACCAAGTTCTTTTCTTGATTCTTTGACCACAGTATTTCCCCCTCATTTCTATATATACTGCTCTGAACTTGACAATTGTCCTAATAGACACATGATTAATGACTTGAAGGAGATATTGACTGACTGAAGTATAACTTTATTTATATGTAAATTGTAATAAAGAAATGTGAAAATTAGAAATGAAGGATGCTATATATTCTCTGGAAATTTAATTTTTAATAAACCTTTTCTTAGTTGATAACTTGTTTGGATTTATTGCTGCAAAAATTTATTGCCCCTAAAGCATTGTTTTCCTTGTCAGGTGCTCTGTTTTATGTGATTTTTCCTTTTCAGAATGTCATTAAAACCAATAACCTTTTTTATTATAAGGTGTGCCTTCAGGTAAAGTGTCTTCAGTTAGCAGCTCTTTGGGGAACAAACTTCAGACCTTATCTCCTTCCCATAAAGGGATAGCAGCCCCTCATGTAGGGTAAGTCTATTTGAATTTAATTGATTAGTGATACACACACACATACACATACACACACATATATACACTCCATACGCAAATGATACTAAGGTTTTATTTTATTTAGGTAATTGACTTTTATTAACCTGGATTTTCTTTCTAAAGTTCATTTCCCTTTTAACATATTTCTGGTCAGGGGCGCATACACTACTGTTGAAGTTCTAAATTAGGATAACCATTTTGGAAAAAAATCTGGTGGCATGTATCCAGAGCCCAAAAAACATTTGTACTTCTTGAATAATTTTACTTGAGGAAATCTAGTCTAAGGAAATCATTTGAAATACAGAAGATTTTTGTGTAACCATTACTTATGAAACATTATGTATCAGGCACTGTGTTAGACATTTTTTCATATATTTTTATTAAAACCACCCTACCACCATAGGATGAGGGTCAGAGAAGCAAAAACAATTTGCTCAAAACCACACAGCTATTAAGAGTTAGAAGCAGGATACAAATTGGAGTCTCTTTGGCTCAAAACATTGGTTTTTTTCATATGGTTTGATTACAATGTTAAAAAAAATAAAATAAAACCACCTAAATTTCTACCTTTGTTTGAATAGCAAATTATAACAATCTATACAGGGATATTATGCAACTATAAAACATATAATTCTACTATAACAGGATAAGAATGTAGGATACAAACTCCGATGTATACTGAGATAGAAACTATAAAAATGTGTGTAGACAAAAAAGACAAAATATGCTGAAATATTAACAGTGGATGATTATTTTCCACTTATTTAATACTTTTAATATACTTTTTATCTTTCTACAGTTTTATAAACGTGACTTTTAAGAAAGTAGCATTATTAAGCTTTCCACAATTATTTTAATGTGGGAAAAATGGTTGGTAACACTAGAGATTTTAAAAATCCTCTTATCTCAGTAGAAACTCCCTTTCTCTTCCATTTTGGTAAATCAGAAAATTTAAGGGTTACCATGTGATCTTTAGAATGAAGACTTAGTATATACTTTACAGATACTGTTAAAGTTGGTTTAGGAAATACAACGCTCATTATTTTCAGATATGGGTTATCACTTTTTTTTTAGTGTAGGAAATATGTATAGGGTTATTTATCAAGTGAGAGCAACTGTCTTTTGTTTTCTAATTTGGACTACACAGAAAGTACAAAATCTAAAAGGAGTTTAATATAATTATCATTGTAGAAAAAGAAAAAAATCAACTAACAAGATCCAATTAGTTTAAATGTTTTTTCTTTTTATTGTGCTTCCAAAAAGAAAACATAGGCTATCCTTAAGAAAGAGACAGGTTATCAGTAGAACAGGTGGCTGAAAAGTAAAATGTTCTCATCTTTCGGTGGTAAAAAAAAAACTGATTTTGTTTTATTTTTTAGTTTCTCTACGGAGTTGACCCATCATTTTTAGTTAAGGTGTAGATGGCAATACGTATTTTAACTTTTACAAATCCTTTTTGCTATATCACAGAATTGCCTTCCATGTTGTGTTATAGTTTGATTTATGAATTATGAATTAAAAGCTGATATTTTTTAGTGCCTTGCCCCTCATACTGGTAATTTTGTCAGATGGCCATATTAAGTTGTACTCACACTCTCCCTTGTATTCTTAATAGGGCTTGTTAAGCTGGCTGGTGTAATGAAAAGTGGCACTAACTTTGGATTAGAAAACTAGGCTTCGAGATCCTACTTTGCCAAAGAATACCCATATGACTTTTTGCATATTTCCTTTGTCTCACTCACAACATTCTGTGACTTTGGTTAGATGTTGGCAACTGATCTAACACAATTTGACCAACATTATATAATCCCTAGGAGAAAATTTGTCTTTACTAAAAAGCAAAGACTTTGAGCACAGTAATTTTATAAATTATGCACTGCTTACAATGCCATAAAGATTTAAAATTTCTTGTGGTCTCACATCATATTAAACTGTCAAACATAACTGTGTAGATCCCAATTGTACATTTTATGTATAGTCCTTATGTGTTAGAAGAATGTTTCTATAAATACCAAGGTGTTTCCTTGGTGTTTGCTTGTGGCCGATATATTACCATATTATCTGGAACATTACTATATTACTATATTAAATAGAACCTTTCATGGCTATCTATTTAGTTGCAGAGTTCATTTTTTTCTTTTCTTTTTAAGAATTATTGAGTGTATTGACTTGTTATTTATTATGTTGTTTTTTTCCTTTGCTAGATTGTAAGCTCTGTGGTAGCAACGCTCTGTGTGTCTGCCTTGCTTACAGATGTAACTATAAAATGTAGTATAGTGTCTGGCATATAGACACACAATAAATTTTTGGTGAATAAATGAAACAAATAGTGAATTAACAAATCCCTCATTTGTCAACCTGTTGGCACATCATACAACCATGGTCCTGGTACTGGTGGGATAATTGAGAGTTCTATGGCAATCATTATTTCTATGGCTACAGATCCTTCAGGACTGAGTAAAGGTGGAATTAAGACATCTGGTTAGCTGTAGAAAGAAATGAAGATCCTTCTGAGATTAGTGAAATAGACCAATTTCAGTAACTCAGGATTGTTTAAAGCCTTGTATATATAATCTTTATTGTGGCCAGCTTTACTCATGCATACCAGTGATCTGTAATATTTAACATATATTGGAATCACACTGCAGAAAAATTTATCTTGCAAAAATTCTTGTTTGTTAGTTAACTTCTAGATAACCTGTGGGTCAACCAGTTTTATCACATTTTTTTAAAAGCAAAAAATTCCCTTAATGGAAAAATGTTCTCTTATTGTAAAAGATGACTATCTTTAATCCTAGGGAATTTTAGAAGTATGGTAAAACACAAAGGTTTTAAATAAACATTACCATATTTGAATTGTGTCAGCGAATTTATACAGTCATGCCTTGAGATTTGTGTTTTCTTAGTGGTCAATTACCAACCAAAATGGACATTTTAGCTGATAATTTTCAGTAGTTAAAATATCAAATATCAAAGATTTACTTCTGTTCAGTTGCTATGAAAAACAAAAAAACAGGTTTTTGTTGTCTTTCCCCAAACAGACATGAAAAACTAGAGCAACAGAACACATTCAAGAAGCATTTCTTAATAAATTGAATTTGATTTCTCATACTTTAATTATATTGACAACAGTAAGAAACAAATATCTGGTTTTTAAGTACATTTTTGTATAAGTAGAAACAGGCTTTTCTCATAAGCCAGTCTTTTGGTTTTGTGTGAATTGAATTTGTTTGGAACATTGTCTAGATTTTTATGAACTTCTCTATCATTTATTATTGATCTAAATGCCTAAAACAACCTAGAATTGTAGTGTGGCTTCTTACATGGATACCAGTGATTGAGGTTATTGGTTTTGCCATATGTATAACATTTGATAAGTTTAGGATCAAAAGTAGAAGTGTGACACATTTCAAAACTTTAAATGCCCCAGAACATCATAACTATGTGTGTCTGTGAAGATACAAAATGCAAAATGGTAGATTTTTTTCCAATATTATTTCAGAAGTCATCTTTTTATTATATCAGGGTTGTCATAGTCTTGTAAGACTGAGTGGCTTGCATGCTCCTGAGTAATTCACTCTTATGGTATCAACAATAAACAAGGACCTTCCCAAGGTCAATGTTTATTTCAAAGTAAAACCTATTCCAGTAGGTTGATTTCATTGCCAAGTATTTCTTAAAATGTGAATTCATTCTCAGCTATAAATATTTTGAAAGCTTGCTAAAGTATTATTCCTTTTTAGATACACTATTATATTGGGGCAGTTATACTCAACTGCATATAGTCATTTTATATTAAAAAGTCTTGGTCAAAATTATAGTTTATCATCTATAGAATAGATTAGTTTGACAGTAATATATATTTGTCTGGGATTACAAGATAATATTATTATCTATCAAAGTTCTTTAATATATGGAAAACCTTTATTTTTTTTTTTTTAAGATGTTGTTTATTTATTTGACAGAGATCACAAGTAGGCAGAGAGGCAGGCAGAGAGAGAGGGGGAAGCAGGCTCCCTGAGCAGAGAGCTGATGCAGGGCTCGATCCCAGGACTCTGGGATCATGACCTGAGCCGAAGGCAGAGGCTTTAACCCACTGAGCCACCCAGGCGCCCCTATGGAAAACCTTTAAAAATCACTGATATCCTTTCAAAATCTTAAAATACTGGCATCCTCTCATATATGGAAATTTTATATTTTAGAGCAGTTGATCTTTTTGAACTATGACCTGAGAGCCAAAACCTGCCCAACAACTGGTTTATTGGAATATGGCCACACCCAATTATTTATGTGTTGCCTGTGGCTGCTTCATGCTACAATGGCACAGATGAGTATTTGTGACAGAGATAGCATAGCCATTAAAGCTTAAAATATTTACTGTCTGGCCCTTCACAAGAAGAGTTGGCATTCTCTATTTTAGAATAAGTAAAGTACCGTAGAAATTGGACCTTTATAATTTGAAGTTATGGATTTTAAGGATTATTTAACAGTAGAAATATATATATATATATATATATATATATATATATATATATAATATATTTAAGTCATGTAAAGTATCTGGAAACTTTGTAGGTTAGTGGTCCATGGAACCAAAGGATTTTTTTTTTTAGAGATTTTATTTCTTCATTTGACAGACGGAGATCACAAGCAGGCAGAGAGGCAGGCAGAGAGAGAGGGGAAAGCAGGCTCCCTGTTTAGCAGAGAGCCCGATGTGGGGCTCAATCCCAGGACCTGAGATCATGACCTGAGCTGAAGGGAGAGGCCTAACCCACTGAGCCACCCAGCTGCCCCACCAAAGGATTTTTAAACTTTTATTTATCCAACGCATTTCTGTGCTTGCATTGAAAGAATCGCAAGAAGTTAAAAATATACTTTGATGTTGACTCTAACCAAATCTAGGTACCAATTTAAGGACCTATCTTTGAATTTCATATGGGATTGAAATCATATTATGTATATCGAATTGCTTAGTCTGC